AAACCTAGAGGTTTCCAAGAGTCATCGACAAACTGTTGAAGGCAAGCACCTACACTTACTCCAGAGGCGTCTGTAAAGAGACCAAGAGGAGCATCAGGTTTAGGATGAAACAATAGTGTTGCTGATGATAAGCTAGCCTTGCATGCTTGGAAAGCTTCTTCTGTCTCTGGAGTCCAGGGCACAGGGAGGGAACCTTTTGAATCAGCGTCACTAAGTAGGGAGTGCAGAGGTGCTTGAAATTCAGCGGCCTTAGGCAGAAACCTACGATAAAAGTTCATAATTCCCAAGAATCTGCGAAGACCACGCATTGTCTGAGGTAACTGGTAGTCTTGTAGAGTAGTGACTCTCTCCTGAGGTGGACGTGTCCCAGCAGATGAGACTAAATAACCTAGAAATTTAACTTCTGGTACACCAATTACACATTTAGACGGATTTACAACTACACCATAGTCAGAAAGTCGTTCAAACAACATTCTTAGGTGTTCTTTATGTATTTCTTCAGGCTGGGAAAATACTAAAATGCCGTCAATATATGCATAACAAAAGTCAAGGCCGTGAATAACTTCATCTATGAATCTTTGAAATGTTTGACCCGCGTTGCGCAAGCCAAAAGTCATGAATGGAAATTCAAACAACCCAAATGGAGTGGTGATTGCTGTTTTTTGGAAGTCATCTTTGTGGACGGGAATTTGGTGGTAAGCCTTGGTCAAATCAATGGCAGAGAAATGTGTACAGCCTGCTAAATTGAACGAGAAATCCTGAATATGTGGTACAGGGTATCTGTCAGGAACAGTACGAGCATTTAAAACGCGGTAATCACCGCAAGGACGCCATCCATTTTTACCTTTAGGCACCATGTGCAAAGGCGAGGACCAGGGGCTTTCAGAGGGTCGAGCAATACCAAGCTTAACCATCTCCTCAAATTCTTTCCGGGTAGCTTTCAATTTTTGAGGATGTAAGCGACGTGGTCGACAGTGAACAGGAGGACCAGGTGTAACATTTATATGATGAACTGTTTTATGTTTCACAGCACGAGGGAAGCCTGTAGGACGAATAATATCAGGGAATTCAGAAAAAAACTTCTGCCAATGGCGAGGAGAAAGATATAACTTTAATACTAGTTTGATTGTTGTTTGAAACTATTCCCTCGGCATTCAATCCCGTTTTCTTGTCAACCAAACATTTCATCTTGCAATCGGGTAATAGGCCTAAGTGATAGTGTGAAAGGAAGTCTGAACCTAATATAGGTATTGAAACATCCGCTACCACTAGACTCCAAGGGAAATTACGTCTAAGGCCTAAATTAAGGGTGAGAGGCATGGTACCATAAGTCTTTATTTCACTGTTATAGGCAGCACTTAGTGAATAGCTAGGCTAGTAGGAAAACGTTTATATTTGAGAAGGCGTTTAGGACAACACGACACATCAGACCCGGTGTCGATAAGGAACCTAGTTCGTGAATTTCTGTCCATCACAAAGAGACGGCCGCCAGCATTTGAACAATCCGTTGCGGCCTCTACGGATTGTTGCTGAGGTTTCCCTGAAAAGAGCATGGAGAAAGACATTTGGTAGCATTGTTTTTGAATTTTCTATGGTACCAGCACCAGTTCTTAGAGGGATTAGGCTCGTTTCTTGATCTACCACGAGACTGGGAACGACCCCTAGGTCTCACCTGTGTATCTCGTACTCTGGTTTCTGATAATGCTTAAACTTGTTTAGAGAGGGATTCTATTGCATTTAATAAAGAAGCGTTACCTGAAGAGACTTCACAAATACCAGGTGTTGAAGGAATGTCAGCCACTTCCATGATCTTATCAGCCAGTTCTGCCAGTTTGTCCAAGGAGAGCTCAAGTTGCGTAGTCAATATGGCTTGTGAATGAGGAGGGAGTCGTCTGAGCCACAGTTGACGAAGCATGTTGTCTTGAAGGGGAGTCGAGCCCGCAAGAGACGTAAGATGCCTCAAAAACTGAGAAGACTTGCGGTCTCCAAGGTCCTCTTCACTCAGCAGCGCCGCACACGTTGCTCTTCGGATGCAGAGAGGCGTTCAATCAGTTTCTTTTTTAGATGTCCGTATTTGTCGCCTGGAGGAGGGTTTGTTATGATGTCTTCGACTTCAGCAGCAATTCCTGTGTCCAATTGCGAGACCACGTAGTGAAACTTGGTGTCGTCGTTGGTAATTCCAGATATAAGAAATTGCGAGTCAACTTGACAGAACCACAGACTTGGTCTTTCAGGCCAAAAGGGCGGAAGTTTGACGGCTACTCTGTTGACCGACATGTTTTGAGAAGTACTGGGTTGTCCAATCCGTTGACGCAGTTCTTCATTCGCAGTTCTAAGTTCGGCGAGTTGAGTCTGCAGGTCTTCTAATGACATCGTTCGTTGGAGGAAACACAAAAGATTCAAACTCTTCAAAGAAAATAAGTCTTTAGATAACGGTTGTAGTCGGGGTCACCATTTTGGTCGTGGTTGTTTGTGTACATCAAATAAATTACGATCAAATAAGTAATAGAAAAGTATTTTAATAAAAGAGTTTAAATTTTGTGTACAATCCTGTAGAAAAACAAAAACCAGGCTAAATCATAATGCGTTGCTATGACAACGTCATCAGCTGACGCTACAAGCCCTCCACAAGTATAAAGACTACAATGAATTTGGTAGAACGATTTGCAATAAAATTTATTAAAGTTCCCCTGGTGTAATAGTTTATCTGTATAAAAAATATTTTGGGGGGTCACGACGCCGTTGACCCCCCACCATGGGACCGCCCTCGTGTCTCAGTGTTTTGTTATACAGTAGTGCTTCTGCTTGTTTTCGCCTGAATTGGTTTGGTTTAGGTCGCTGTCAAAGTGCCACCACGTCAAACCGCCACCTCTTTTGTCTTGCATCAGACCTACATACCCGGAGTCATTGTTCGTTCTGAAAAATGTGTTCGTCATAACCATAAGGCCCATGACCGTCCTCTGTACCGGTCAAAACTTTATGTTTGTTATATTTGTTAAAATGTAGGCCTATCCTCCACCATCGTGAAGTATATTTCTTCTCATACTTTAGTCTTCAGTAACATGGATTAAGTGAGTAAAAAACGCCAGATGAGGTCCCGGATGGGAGGTTTTATTCAGCTGCTGTCCTCGGAGAGGCTCACCTGGGTCATACTCATACTCATAGTAGTCTAGTTCCCACCTGTTCAAAACTGTATTCATTGTAGATCTATTCAATTTTACAATTCATAAATCTCCTTTCTAAACTAATAACATTCAAGAAAGTCTAAATTCCATTATTCATCCTTTTATATGCATAATTCCATATAACTTGGTTACTATAAATATTTAAATAGCAACCCAGCAGACGCACAGGCAGCACTTGCCTATGTCTGCTGTATTTCTTACAATCAATTTAATTTAGTTTATACAGAAATGTTCTTTTTTATTCTTCGTCTTAGTTTTATTTTTTAAGTATTTTGTATTAAAAAGTGTGTCATTGTTTTCTGTATATATTATGTGGAAATAAAAAAAACATTCATTCATTCATTCACTCCACCTTCTACCTCCTTGGGCTACCAACTGCCCTGCTTCTCCGGGCCCCTCCGCCATCTACCTTCCAGTATGGACCACCGCCGCCCACCACTAGTTTGAAATGACCTATCTACCGCAAGTTACCATTTTAAATTTTTTTTGAGATTTTAGGACTGAAGACCAGATATCAAATTAAGGCTGTGATGAGCAATTGTCAAGCTTGTTGCTGACAAGTGACAAGCTTGTCACAAACCTGTTACTGAAAAGCGTACAAGCATGTGACAATCATGCGACAAGCTTCATATTTGACAAAAGTTGAGGTTGTCACATGCTTGTCATGTTTGATTGTGACAACCTTGTCACAGGCGAGATTTCCACAATCATGAATTATTTATTGTTGTGAAAAGCTTGACATATTTACAATTGTGACAAGCTTGTTAAGGAAAGTTTAATAAAACTTGTTTAGAGCCGTTTCATGGCAACTCTTTAACAACCAAATTAATTTTATCCTGTAGACATAGTAGTAGGACTGTTTAAAATTTAAAATGGGCAATGGTAGATTGGATAAATGGTGCAACTTTCTAGTCATGATTCTTTAATTTATTTATTTGTTAAAATTTAATTATTTGTTATTTATTTAATTTTTAATTGATTCTTTGTTAATTTGTTCTCTTTGTAAGCACAGAAGGGTAAACCTTTTAATTTAAATATTTTAGAAATGCTTTGGGATAGTTGCACCTTGTTGAATTTTTGATATTATAGGCATTTGTTTTGTCTTTGCAGTTTACCCACGGCCTTTCACATTTTAGTTAGGGATGTGGGGCACTATCACTATGGGGGGCATGCTTCGTCTAGGGGACGGTGCGAGGAGGGGCCGGCTCTCTACATTCAATGCTCAAACGTAAGTAGTACCATTGACTATGGATTGTTAGTTAATGGTTAATGGTTAATAAGTTGTATTGATGGTCAAAGCTAGCACCAGCCACGCGTCAAATAAGCTTGACAATTATTATAACACCGAATAACTAGAATTTAATTGGTTTTATACCATAAAATATGACTTGATAGTTGATACTTACCATATTTATCATCTTAATTCAAACAATAAATGCCGTTCCAATGGTTGACTCACAAAACAACACTTTCAATGATTGTTACTGCCTACTGGCCCAAAATTAATTATTATTCTAATATTGCTGAAATGGGTCTGTATAACATAAACAAAATAGATGCATAATGAATTGCTTTAGGTTTTTGAATAGTATAAAAGTCTAATTACATTGTACCAATGACATTTGATATTAATTCACTGTTCATTGAAAATTTATAATATTTTATAGGATATAATCAATGCCAGAGGTTTTTCGATCCATGATGTTGTATTATTCTCACTTCACTCAATTCATTGTATAAACTTATCGTATCAGTATCAGTCAGATCTCAGATCAGATTTTTTTAGTTCGGTGTTTGTCGATATTCGATATTTGATTTTCATAGGTTCAGTTCATAGGTTATGTTTTTGTTGCCATCTTAAGAAAGAAAGAAAAGAAAAACCTAGTTAGCGACTTGATTAGACTTAATTATCAAAAAATAATTTATTCAAGGTTGATACCCAGAAATAAGAAATGTCTAACAACTAATAAGTACGCTTTTTAACTTTTTGTAATTAGAATAAGAACTAAGTGAAGGCTAATCCAATTTCAGTTGTGATTCGGAATATTGGTATGTACGTTAGGCCTTAATTATTTTTAAGAAAGTTAAATAAGTTAAAAAGGTAAGTTATTATTAATGGGTTGCTTAAGATTATAGTTTAACCTGTTAAGTTGGTTTTCATGTGATAACATCAGGTTTGATGAGATAACGATTGAGAATTTTTAAGTTAACATTAGCCTATGTCAATGTGGCAGTGAGTGGTACAGGGTTGGTTGAAGTTAAGCTTGACTATTGTTTGCTAGATAGTCTTAAACTTCCAACTAGTCTTAATTTTCTTTTTGTTGTTATTTCAGTTATAATTTGGTAGTTCATTTGATAAGTACGGTACCGGTAGCTTAGTTGAATAAAGTTTTATTTCTTATCAGTAATTTAGGTATGTTTGTATGCCTCAACTTAAATTTTCTCCCAATTACGTTCACAATGGAATTGATTGATTCTGAACGAATCGTTCCAATACTAACTTATAGCCTAGAGTTTTGGACAAGAATGTCTAGAAGTTTTGGTCATGAGAGTCTAGGCCTAGGAAATGTTGAGGAGAAGAAGATTCTTGTAACCACTAAACTATGTTGGTCATATTGCTGTTGTGTGTGGCCCTTCAGAGGCACCACCAAGGACTCAGGTAGCCTACACAGCTTGCCGATGGTGAAGTTAACTTTTTGACGTTCCACCGACATTGTGCACAATTTCCACTGTCACATCCATTTTAGTTTAAGCATCGTCTTGAATGATCAGAGTGAAGAGAGATTCACATGATCTGGTAATAAATTACCTTGATAATGTTGTTTTTCATCAGAGTGCTGTTTGCAGCATAAGATGTTGAAGCTGCTAGGTGAACGAATAACTTAGTAGGCCTACCTACTTACTTAGGTACTTAGTAGTGGTACTTAGTACCTAGTGTACTTAGTACGGTGCTTCTTCTTGTACCGCAGCCGGAACGTTTACTCTTAGGTTTATTCTTTTCAAAAGTTTGGGGCAATCGATTTAATCAGCCTAAGTTAACTGTTGTAAGATATTAAAGTAGGATCAACGTAATATTCATCTACACTTATGTTTCTTCAAACAAAACTATAGGCCTATTTATTAGATACTAGCTGGCCCGACAGACGTCGTCCTTTCCTAATGTGGTTTCATGTCAAATGCATGTTCATTTTCAAGATGAGCTCGTTCGCATGGCTCTCAATCACGTCTTGGTTGACGTTCGTTCGCTACGCTCACTCACCTTTAGGTTGGAGCTCGTTTGCTGCGCTCACTTGCCTTCAGGTTAGCTCGTTCCCTACGCTAACTCGCCTCCAGGTTGAAGTTCATTCGCTACGCTCACTCACCTTTTGTTTGCTAGTTAGCTGTTGTCATAAATTTAAAAAAGTAATAGTGCTGCGTTGGTTAACCTATTAACTTTTTAATGCTATTGAACATCACGGAATCAAATTGTTTAGTTGAACCAGCTGTTAAGATTCTTTAATTCCATTTAAATATGAGTACTCATAAGGTTAACATGGGAAACTCCAGAGCCACTGGGGCGGAGCCCTTTTGACGGATCTGCACCAAACTTCACACAAACCATCCTTGAATAATGCTTAATAATGCCTGAAAGTTTCATTACAATCTGTTGAGCGGTTTCGGAGTCCATAAAGGACAAACAAACATACGGTATATATATACCTAACTAGCTGGCCCGACAGACGTAGTCCTGTCCTATTGTGGTTTTATGTCACATGCTCGTACATTTTCAAGATGAGCTCGTTCGCATGGCTTAATCACGTCCTGGTTGAAGTTCGTTCGCTACGCTCACTCACCTTTAGGTTGGAGCTCGTTCGCTGCGCTCACTTGCCTACAGGTTAGCTCGTTCGCTACGCTAACTCGCCTCCAGGTTGGAGTTCGTTCGCTACGCTCACTCACCTTTTGGTTGCAAATTAGCTGTTCTCATAAATTAAAAAAAATATAGTGCTGCACCCTGTTGGTAAACCTATTAACTTTTTAATGCTATTGAACATCACAGAATCAGATAGTTTAGTTGAACCAGCTGTTAGGATTCTTTAATTCCATTTAAATATGAGAACTCATAAGATTAACATGGGAAACTCCAGAGCCACTGGGGCGGAGCCCTTTTGACGGATCTGCACCAAACTTCACACAAACCATCCTTGAATAATGCTTAATGATGCCTGAAAGTTTCATTACAATCTGTCAAGCGGTTTTGGACTGACAGGATGTTTTATCCAACGGTAACTAAACAGATTATGTCTATGACTGTAAACAATGAATATATAAAAATGCTGTAACTCTGTAACTATGACAATGACTGTAACTGTGACATTGACTACTAATAATGACCGGTACCTACTAAATGCAGTAAATTATTAATTATTATGCTGTAATATCTGTTTTTAATCATATTAAGTTATATTTTTCCAGACCCAATACAAACACAGAAACTTCAAAAATTTAGCAGTCAGTCTCCTCCAGTGGAAAACACAAGATGCCGAGGTGTCTAGAAGATTTAAAAGATGTAAGTTGTAAGTAAGATTAAAATGACTTGCAGTTTTGCTCTATTTTAATTGGAAAAGATCAAAGACCTAAAAGTAAGCTGTAATTTGTAAAATAAATGGTATCAGCTATCTGACGCATACTTTCTCCCATAAGCTTGTCCACAACTTTTATCATGGGTAAGCGGTGGGAGTAACTACAGTATGATATTTTATAGGGAAAATCACAAAAGTTGCAATAACTGTTAAACCGTAATTGTTACAGCAATGTGGGTTGCACTATTTTCTTTAGAATTATAAGGACCCACATTTAATTTGAATTAAAACCAGCTTTTTTCCTAACATCAGATTTTTTGTTATTTTATGGGTTCTTTTTATGGGAAAATAACATAAGTTACTGTTATGAACATATGAATCAGTTGTTACATAGCAACCAAAATTTTAATCATCAAAATGCTGTTTACTTTCCTATTCTGATCTTTAATATAACACAGTTACTTCTATTTCAGCATTTTGTCTTTTTATATTCTAATATTCCACTCGAAAGTCATCTCGAATCAATAACTTTTGAGCCATAATTTTTTACGGAAATAGGATTTGTACCATTTTGTTCAGGACTAATATAGCCTACTAAATTTTATGAAACTCCTCCGAGCGTCACTCATTTCATTGAGCGCGAACTTATTTTTTTTTCAACTTTTCCAAAATAATTTTTTTTTACCTAAAAATTTTTTTTGAAACAAATATTCCTTATGTTTTATGTATGATATTGAAGCCCATGATTTTCCAAACAAAATGGTATATAGAACAGTAGAATTAACATTGTTTTAAGCTTCTCAGATCCGTTTTAATAAAACCTTGCAAATAAATGCGCCAAAAATAGGTGGACATTAAGGCCTAAACTATGGACACTCGGAGGGTTAAGGGAAAATTACCATTAAAAATCAAAATTTTGAAAAAAATTCCTGGAGATATTCTACAAATGTTTCCCACTTATATCCGCATTAGGTTGTCCATGTTGATCTTCGTCAATGTTAATGTAGTCTGCACGGTACCACCCATTGTCGCCAGTACGTTTACAAATTTCAGTAGTTTTTTTAATAGCGAAAACATTTGTTTACATTAGGCCTACTTAAGAATTACCTGATTTCCTGCATAACCTCTCTGTCACAATTTTATTTGCTTCAATTGGCATTACTTTTGTTAGTTACTGTTATTACGTTAATTCTATTTACCTGAAAAAATGCAGAGTTGAAAGGCCTGATGTTGTTCAAATGTTTTTCCCCCCTTAAATGTGAATAATAGTTGAATCATTCAATGAAAGTTTTAGTAAAGGTTTCTTGGATATAGTCATATTCTTCTAAAATCACTTGACTTTTGATGGAAACACATAATTTAATGTCCTTGCCGTACCAGTTGTATTTAGCCTTATAGGGTTTTCCTCTGCAATAATAACAAAGTTAAGTCAATGTTTCCTACAAAAATAGTAGCACTTCGGCTAACATCCTTGTTCGTTGTTTGTAGTAATCTTCATATTGTATGTGTTCTTCATTATATAGGCTAATAACGATCCTATGTTTTCATAGTTAACAAATCGGTTCTTTCAACGATTGCTCAAGAAAATCCAGTACGGTACTATGTCAATTCATTTTTCTTATTTGGTGAAGTAGCCTATATCAAATTGTCCAGGCTATCTCGATTTTTTACGTTGTAATATGTAGGCTACAAGAACCCAAATTCAAATACTAAATATTTCATTTCAACCAAATCAGTAAATGTTTATACATGCGTTTCCTTGAATTGCAAAATAAATATTAGTAGCAATTAAATCCAGGTGAGCATAATGAAAACAAATATGTTCTTCACATGGGAACTTCAAAAGCCACTGGGGCAGAGCCCGAAGGACTTTAAAATAATAAGGCCAGTTTGCAAATCTACGTGACACACTCTTTCCATTGAGACGTAAATGGTCAAAATCGGTTAAGAAATGGCGGAGGAGTTCAAACGACAAATTTCGTGTTGGCGTAATTTTTATATAAAATATATAGATTAGTTGAAATGGCTGTTTTGTGCACATCTCCAGACTATTACCATTAATAAATTAATTTACTTTTTAAGGCTCCATCGTGGTTATCCCTGCCTCATGTTCACATGAAAAATCCATTTAATGTTTTGGAGAAAATCAATTCTATTGCTTCTGGAGGTCCAGAAAAATTGCAACTTATCATTGACTTTGATCGAACATTAACAAAGAGCCAGGAAAATGGAATACTGACAAAATCCACTTTCTGTAAGTAAAAGTTTTTTATTTATTAGGCAACATTAATTGTTCAGTTGTCAAACTGTTGAATTGCTATTGTAATTTAACTTGTTAAATCGTTATTATTGTGTATTGCAAAATAACTCGGTATGTATACCACTTACTACGGACAATCGCAGAATGATTGATTTTAAAATTGAATATGTTCAAAAATCATCTTTATCGGTGTTTTCAAGAAAACTGCCATAAAACAAATTGAGTGCTATGTGTCTTACTACATATTGTATTTTGCTTCATAGTTGGTACAGAATTTAAAAAGTTGAACTTTTTTGTTCAAAGTAAACTAGTAGTTGAATTGTGGTGTGCAGGAATAAAATAATGAAAAACATGCTTTTTTAAAAATTAATGATTGCTTAAAAAAGTTAGATTTATATTACTGTACTTCTTCCTCAATTTGTAGGCTCAATAGGCTATTCTTTTAAATGATTATCAAAGATTATTCATCGATGGCATTATAATGCCGAAACGGCCGTAACATAGTTACACAACAAGAATTTGAGCTGCAGTGACGAAGGTAAAGCCTATTTTTAAAGATTATTCATTTCATTTTTGCCTAGGACTGCTAACCCTTCTGCAATTTTAAGCAACTTCAACACTTAAAACCTGAGTCTGTATGCTAAATTCCAATTACCAATTTGTTTAGTGCTGGAAATCGCATGTAAAATGAAAATATTGTTGACACCATTTATTATGTATATCTAACATGAAAAATAAATGGAAAATATTACAAATTAATGTTCTTATTTTCTGTCATAGGTCTTCTTGAAAACTATCCCAGCGTTAATGAAGAAATAAGGCTTAAACTGAAACGTAATTTAGATAAATACCTTCCAATTGAAATCGATCCAAAGCTAACAGTAGAGGAGAAAATTCCCTTCATGGTGGAATGGTGGGAAATGGGAATTGAGTACATGAAGGGTGTTGAATGGAACATTGATGATGTAGATAAATACCTCAGACAAAATAGGCAGCCTTTCAGGTTTGTATGAACAAAAAATATATTTCTACTCTTAAAAAAGTTCTAGCCAGATGGAAATTTGACTGAAGTCAAATTTGTTACATATGAGGGTAAGGAAATTGCAATTACTGTAGTTTTATCCAGACTCATGGTGAAAAAGATAGTACTAGTAAGATATGAGTCATTTCATCTTTAAAAGTGCCGCAAGTTGTAATGAAGTTACGCCTACTTGTGGCAACTCTCAAAATTTCATGTTGATAATAAAATGAAGGCATTTTTTTTTGTAGTGATAATAAGTATGTTCAGGTTGCTGTTTTAATGTCAAACCATGTTGGGCTTACTTCTATGCAGGGTTCAATTTGAGGCTCGGTGTTTTTATGTACAACTAGTGTCCCTGTTGCTCGAATTTGAGCAATTGCTAAGTATTACAGCTGCGTTATTTTAAATCGAATAACAATTATTATGTCTGATGACTTTATTAGATTCGACTCAAAGATTATGGAAATACTCTAGGTGTATTCACCTTTTTTCAAAAGCTGATCTCGTGTTTTAATGTTTTCTACAAATAGCTTTACTCATAGCTGCATTAGGTTGTCCACAATAACGATTATAAATTCTAAAAGAAAAACCGTTATTTATATTTCTTTTCCAAGGTTGTGTTCTATGACTTTCCTATGTTTCCATAGTTTGCAAACCGGCTCTTTCAATGATTACTAAGAAATGCAGCACAGTGTTAATTAAGTTTTCTTTTTAGTATATCAATCTATCCAGGCTCTCTCGCTTTTTCCATTATAATATTTAAACCCATAATGTTGTTCAAAAGTTTATTGCGGACATTTTCCATCACAATTAAAAAACAATACACATTGTTTGCAATAAACCTTTGAACAACATTAACTCACCATCACCAACAATGAACTTCAAACAAAGTAAACCCATAACTTTGTAATAAAAACTTTTTATGGAATCAAAAAATATACCAATTTGGTTGCTGAAAAGTTTTGAATTCTAAATACCATTTACATATGTATGTTACTGAACGGTCGCATGTAGACCTACATTACAAAAATACAATTTATTCTTCAAAGCAGTTAAGAGAGAAACAACCTGCCATAACCAATGGAGCTTTTGCATTATTCTGTGTCTAACTTATATTTGGTAAGATTAAAGTAATTAAAATTCATTGTGTAGCCCCAGAATTTTCATGTCTGCCTCCGTACCGCGACCGGTAAATAGTAGGCCTACTAAGTGTTAAATGTTTCGTACAATGTATCGTGTTTTGTGAATTTATTTAAATGTTTTTTGACGAGTCTACAATGGACGAAACGTTCTTGAAGGACCACTTGACAATGCCTATGTATAGGCGAAACATGTAGTGGGTTTAACCATACATCTATGAACTGTGGACGTGAAGGTATGTACCTTACATTTTAGTAAGATTAAAGATAAGTTATTCTGTTTTGCAGGGATCATACAAAAGACTGTTTGGAGCAATTGCAAAACACCAAAGTTCCGGTGTTGGTCTTCTCAGCTGGGATTGGAGAAGTCGTGAAACTTTCTCTCAAACACGAAGGTTTCCTGACAGACAACGTTCACATTGTGTCCAACTTTCTCAGGGTAGAGGACGGAAAAATTGCTGGGTGCCAAGGCGATATCATTCACGTCTTCAACAAAAATGAACAACTCATTCAGAACACAACTTACTATTCAGTATGTGGATTGCTTTAGCTAGCTTATTAGTTCCACAGAGAAGTTTGGTACAGAAACTTGCTTTTGGGAAGACCGTGCGCTTTCAGCTTTAGAATATTGTGCTGGAAATATACTTGTGATATTCTAGGAAGAGCCTGAGTGGCGAGCACTGTTCAGAAATTCCTATCGCACAGGTCACAACAATATAAAAAAAAAACAATTTTATACTAAGCTATTAATATTTTACTAAAAAACGCACTTTATTATCCTCCCTGTAGCAGCAAACCTAGGTACTCGTTAAACCTAATGTTATTTGAATAGATTTAGTTTAAAATCAATTCAGGGAAATGGGAATTCTCTTAGTCTGCAGGTTTTCTGCAGCCTGGGGTATTATCATATTTTGTGTCTTTACTGGTCGATTGAAAAAGTACTCCTCAAAGTCTGATATACTGTTCTCTTGTATATCATCTTGTGTCATCATTTGTATATATCTGTTTGTATATCTAATTTCTTGTGCTACTGCAAGGCCACACTAAAAAAACAGGCCGTAATGCTCGTCAAGCATGACGTCACGATAGAAGACGGCAATGACGTAATGTTTGCCGTTTGTGATCAGCTGCTTGTTTTAATCTTTCCTTGGAAAATAAATAAATAAATACCCTCTGTCACAAAAATATCAAACATTACGTCATTACCGTCTTCTATCGTGACGTCATGCTTGACGAGCATTACGGCCTGTTTTTTTAGTGTGGCCTTGGCCACTGTCAACTATATCCTCTTCTTGATGGGTATTTTTTAGTAAATTCTTCTTTGGAAATATTGTCTGTCAATGTAGACTACTTAAGCAGGTCCTACAACTTAAATTACAATTTAAGTGTGTGTTTGCAGGAGTTGTCTGGGCGCAGTAATGTCATTCTACTCGGAGATTCAGTCGGAGATGCAAAAATGGCTGACGGTGTACCTCATGACACTGTGCTCAAGATTGGGTTTCTCAACAATCATGTAATGAACCTTTCACATAACATAACCTAATAATTAGTAGATTATATTACCTCTAGTAATGTGACAGGTGTACTATACTCTGTTAAGTAACAAGTCCAACAAGGTATCAAGATGACTCAAAGTTTGTTCCTTATTCCTTTAGTAATGGACTCCGTCGTTTGTTTAGGAATCTGTTGTTAGCTTCCCGGTGCATTCCTATGTCAATTTTTTGTGTCGATTGAATATTTGGGCATAGATTTCTGAATCATCACTCCAAGTCCTCATCGCTGAGTGATGTCGATGAGTACTAAGGACTCAAGTGATAATAGTTCTCCAAGCTGCCATTACGAGTCCAAGTATTCAAGTAATAACTCAAGTCAAAAAACAATGAAGTAAATTTTTGTACTTATACTTAACTTGTCACATCACTGATTTACTAAAAATACAAGGCACACTGGTAATTAGTATGCAGTATAGTTAAACATAGATTATTTCTAACTGATTTGCTTTGTGGGCTGTCTGTGGCACAACATGGTCTGTGGTATTTTTATACGTTAAAGGTAGTTTTTGACAGAATCTGAATTTTCAATACTTAATGTAACACCTGCTTTTAGCGCATTTCCCTATAGGGAAGTAGCTATTACCATAGGTGGCATAAACTAACTGGTAAGAACTAGGCCCAGGACTGATTTACTTTTTCATTTTGATGTCCCCAAAGGCCAAAAACACCATTCGTTCAAATTTTTATATATGTATATATATATATATATATATACTAGCTGACCCGGCGAACTTCGTATCGCCTAAGTTATAGGTTTCCCCTAAGACAGACCGATGGAAAGAAAGTACCGTTATGTTTAATTTTCAAGATGATCTCGCATCGCTCAATCACGTCCTGGTTGAAGTTCGTTCGCTACGCTCACTCACCTTTGGGTTGGAGCTCGTTCGCTACGCTCACTCACCTTTAGGTTGGAGCTCGTTCGCTGCGCTCACTTGCCTTCAGGTTAGCTCGTTCGCTACGCTAACTCGCCTCCAGGTTGAAGTTCGTTCGCTACGCTCACTCACCTTTTGGTTGCAAATTAGCTGTTGTCATAAATGTAAAAGAAATAATAGTGCTGCACCCTGTTGGTAATCCTTGTAACTTTAATGCTATTGAACATTATAGAACAGAACCAACTTGTTTAATTGAAACAGCTGTTAAGATTCATTAATTCCATTTCTCATAAGGTTAACATGGGAAACTCCAGAGCCACTGGGGCGGAGCCCTTTTAAGAATTTCGAAACGGGAAATAGTTTACGTCCGATTCGCATACCTACAGAATTTACACACCAAATTTCATAACGATCGGTTAAGTCGTTCCGGAGGAGTTTGCAGACAAACACTGTGACACGAGAATTTTATATATTAGATATATATATATACCTATATATATTTATAATATTAGTAGGATATATATAGATTTATTATGAAAACTGTAGTGATTAGGGCTACTATTTTTATATAGAGGGGGGTTTTATGGGGTAAAAGTTTGTTTTTCTCATTTTTGACCCTCTTAACACAAAATTTCACAATTTCTCTCCAGACCTTTTTAAAGAGCTTAAAAAAACAAATAATTTAGTATTTCAAAGTGTTTTTGTACAACTATTGGTTACGGAGAAAATTCAAAAAATCTTTATTTTAAAATTCCCATGTTATTCTTATGGAGATTGTTGTAAAATGTTGTAGTTTGCTTGTTTATGGATATATTTTTATCAAATTTGGTAAATTTATTTATTTTATACTAAGTTATTAATATTTTACAAAAAAAAAGCTGTTTTTACCCTCCCTGTAGCAGCAAGGCTAGGTACTCACAAAACCTAAAATCAATTCAGGCAAATGGAAATTCCCTTAGTCTGCAGGTTTGCTGCGACGGGGGTATTTATATTTTAAGTTGTATATGTCATTCCATGTCCAAATTGTATATTTCATCACTAGGGCGTAAGGTGACTCTTTTCGACCCGAGCTCAAGTTATACGATAAGTGATGGTTGAAAAGGCACTTTTTGCTCGTGTGTTGAACTATATTTTTTGTCATGCTGCAACTAAATTAGAAAATAAAAAATACTTTTCATCTAACTAAAGATAACTTCTTGAAACGACTTCCAAATTGTTTTCAATTTTGCTAATGCAAACAAGCAGATTACTAGTAAGTGATTACATCATCTTGTCAATTACGTTTGTTTTAGTGTACTTTATACAATTGATATGACAAACTACGCAACAATAAGCTACAACCAATTAAATCAATCTATACATAATTTTGATCTATTGCTTACGGCGTTTACAGCAGCTGACTTTTACTCCCTAGGGAGTAGAAGAGCTACCTTTGGACCATGTATTAAACACAGCTGTTTTTGCTGCAGCATGAAAAAAACAAAGTTTAAGATGATTCAAATGCTATTGTATCTTCAATAAAATTTAGTGTCATACAATAGTCCAGTCAATGAATGATCCAAAAGTGGGTGTAGATTGCGTGAGCAGGTAACTAAGCGATTCCTTCAGAAACTTGTTCAGGGGGCTTAAGGTGTTAACATACCAAAAGTCCTGACTCATAGGTGGTGAGTCAGGGGGGTGGAGGAGAGAAAGGGGGGGTAAAGGTACGCATTTTGGCTTTTTTTATTATATCTCAAAAACTATCAACTTTTTGTATACTATACTAAATTATAAAATTGAAGAAGATTAAATTTTCTACAAGAAAATTAAATAATGTGTTTATTTTGGTTAAACAGATGACGAGTTATTACTTATTTAATTAATATCTTATTAAAATACTCCTTCCATAAGAAATACATGTATATTAGTATGCGAAATAGGGCGAATCCTATCCGCTCAAAGGAAATATAACCAATATTCTGGAAATGTTGACAAAATTTCCAGTAATTTGACGTTGTAATCATAAAAATTGTTCTAAAATTAAGGCAAGGGCGAGGTAAAAAAATTGTCGTGTTTCGTTGTTTTTATTAAGAATTATGAAAAAACCCTCAAATCATCCCGTTTTTAAAAGCTTACCCACGCTTTAATTTTTGACAAAATTGTATGATTAAAGTGTCAAATTGCTGGAAATTTTAGCAAGATTTCCAGAATATCGGTTATATTTCCTTTGGGCGGATAGGATTCACCCCATTTCACATACTAATTTACATGTATTTCTTATGGAAGGAGTATTTTAATAAGATATTAATTAAATAAGTAATAACTCGTAATCTGTTTAACCAAAATAAACATATTATATAATTTGCTTGTAGGAAATTTAATCTTCTTCAATTTTATAATTTAGTATAGTTTACAAAAAGTTGATAGTTTTCGAGATATAATCGAAAAACCCAAAATGTGTACCTTTAACCCCCCATTTCCCCCATCCACCAACCTGGCTCAACACCTAGGAGTCAGGACTTTTGGTATGTTAACACCCTAAGCCCCCTGAACAAGTTTCTGAAGGAATCGCTTAGTTACCTGCTCATGCACTCTACACCTCATTCCTTGACTGGACTACAAGTATTTTAATTGTGATTATTTTCACTATAAAATTTATTTTTTTCATTACAGATAGAAGAGGCGTTGGAACAGTATAAAGAACTGTTTGACATTGTGTTGACCGATGATCAAACGATGGATGTTCTGCTTCATATTCTGAAACGAACTCTGTGATATTCAACTGATATTTAACCCAATAGCTTTATTTTTATTTACAGGCAAGAGATCAAACGATTTTAAATAACACGCTTATTATGTTTACTCTTAAACATTAGGCTTTGTATTATTTGTATACCAGTTGTTATTAAATTATATTTTTCTGTTTACAGATGTTATTTATAGCCTATGTCCTGATATTAAATTTGTCATCCATACTATTACAGTAGACTCCCTCTTTTTCGGACTCCTCGGGACCAATGCCGGACTGGATAACGGTTTCTCCGGTTAAACCGACGTCCCTAAAAACTCGTTAAAACGGATCGTTTACTGTGATATTCGACTTAAATTTAGGAGGGCATTGTATATAGACATCTCAAATATTTCCCACGAAAACATTCGTTTCAGTACTGCCCACTTCCTGCCGATCCAGTCCGGTTAAACCAATGTGCTGATAAAAATTGTCAGCACAGATCTGTAACTTTTTATGTTTTAAGTTAAAATAAATGGAGTAAACATTAGAGTATTATATTGTCTGTGGTTTGCAGTACGGTCTTTTCCCTACCTCCACCCGCCTCCAGCCAACACTGCCCGCGCTAGGCCAAGTGACAGCTTAGGTGTCACGAGCTGTACCCATGATAAAGGTTGTTGACAAGCTAATGGGAGAAAGCATGTGTCAGACTGCTGATACCGTTTATTTAATTAAAAAACATGTAGTTGTGTGAGCCAGATACCGAATGCGTGTCTTAAATTCTATTTCTACCTTATTTTTTGTTGCTGACAAGTTGATGGGTCATAACAGTTGCTATAGCTCATAATAAGTCATTCCATAAGTTTGACTTGGTAACCATAGACAAAAATAAACACATAGTGTATTCGACAGAAATTAGTCATTTAGATCAGTGCAATCTGTTGGTGGCTCACATCAACTACAACAAATTCAAAGAAAAAAACTGGTAACATCTTTGGGGATGGAATGTAAAGGTACAGGCTCCTCTATTTTCACCCCACGCTGTAAATAAAACATGTGATTGTAATTTCTTCAATTTGTTTTGATTTTCTGTTTATATTTCGTTGTTATTTTGTCACCAGCATGGCAACCCATAAAGCCCATGTAATTTTTTTTATTTCAAATCCAATTTTTTGAGCTTATATTTGAGCCTATTTTAACTTTTAAAGGGATTCTGCACTTCTGCAGAAAAAAATCTTTCCAACGGTATGCCTAGATTTGCCCTACGATGCACACGAGCTGAGAAAACAGGTTTTAAAGAAACATGCTTGCCTATTAATATATAGATAGAGAGAAGATAGATAGATACTGTAGTATCATTGGCTATTGGATACATTAATAGTCAAAGCGTCAAAGGTAGGTAGTATCAAAAATATTTTAAGTATTGCGACCATTGCAACTGTCGGATACTCTTTGACCACTTGAAAACTCTCAATACCAACAAGCACAGATAGTTCAGAGGTAAGGAAAAAGGCTCACAAGACGAAGGTATAAGGTTTGAGACCCGTCCGGGCAGAAAAATTTTGTTCTGGTTTTCTTTTCAAAATTTGTTTTCATGAACTATGTATTTAATCAATTTATTCAACTAATAATATGCTTTTCATACTAAATCTTTATTGTTTAAATACATTTGTTTATAATATTTTAATAACATTTATAAAATATTAAAACAAAATATTTAAAAAAATATTTTTAGGATTCATTGGGGTGGAATAGGATGCATTTTAAAAACTTTAAGGATTAAAAAAATATTTTTAAAACATCCTTTGCTGTCTGGGTGTTTAGTTAACAAAATATGAGTGCTGTTTTAAGAAAGCTCTCCCGCACTACTAACTGCCCCCTCACATAGATGCATGGCAATATTTGTGTACCTTTTTGGAGGAAGACAGCATCCCGGTCTGGGCCATCTCCTAGAAGTCCCCAAAAACAATCAAAATTAGTTGCACATTCAGTGCATACTAACCCCCTATGGATTAAACATTTTATCAGGCAAATGGGAATTCTTAAATAACTTACGTCATCAATCCATAAATTGCTGTGGAGTACGCGTTTCAACCATCAGGTCATCCTCAGCTCCACTGTCGACTGTCACTAGGTTGAATTTGCTTCTAGTGGAATTTGCTGAAAGTGGAGCTGAGGATGACCTGATGGTTGAAACGCGTACTCCACAGCAATTTATGGATTGATGACTAAGTTATTTAATTATTTGATAACTCAATCCGTTGTGCTACAATCTCAACATTATAAATGGGAATTCGCTTAGTTTGCAGGCTTGCTGCGGTTTGGATATTTTACAATGTGTTGTAAAAGCTGTGCAAGCCTGTGTTGCAGGCTTAGGGTAAGATTGATGTATTGACGTTTCCTTGAACATTTTATGCTTTCAGGAAATAAATCATTCTCGTAATTCTAACAGTAAGCTCTACAATAATTGTCAAAGAGGGGAAAGAAGCACCCCCTACTTTGCATAACATACAGACAAACTGGTTACACTTTAAAGAGACTGTCAATAATAAACTAGATCTATCAATTTCCTTAACAACACAAGAAATCGGCGATGCAGTTGAATTTTTTAACAATTAATTCACAATGTGCTTGGGAAGGAACCCCCATGTCATCGTGTCGACTCGACTGCAAACTAACGATGGCATTAACTATCCTGTTCAAATAAAGAAACTCATAGCGGAGAAACGTAAATTAAGAAGAGTGTGGCAGAATACACGAAATATAAATAGTAAAAAACCAACTTTAATAGAGTGTCCCAGAATTTAAAAAGACTTTTAAGACATGTTAAAAACGAATGGTTTCAGGAATATACAAGTAATCTTTCTTCAACAGAAGCATCAAACTACTCTTTATGGAAGGTAACAAAAAACTTCAAGAGACCATAAAATCGTCTGTTCCCCCATTATTAAAACCTGATCGTTCGTGGGCTAAAAGCTTGGACGAAAAAGCAAAAATTATTTGCGTCCCACTTCTCCCAAGTATTACACCACATACCAGTGCAACAAACTCTCCTGAGGTACAGGAATATCTGGATTCACCCAATCAACTGGATTTGCCTATCCAAACATTCACAAAAAATGAAATAAAAATATGCATCTTCCATGAAGGTTTAAATAAATCTTCAGGATATGATTTAATCTCTGCAAAAATATTAAAAGAGCTCCCTGAGAAAGGTTTTAAGTTCCTTACTCTAGTATTCAACGCCATTCTCCGCCTCGAGTACTTTCCGAATCAATGGAAGGTCTCAGAAATTATCGTTCTACCAAAACCTGGAAAACCCCCAAACGAAGTAACCTCGTACAGGCCCATCAGTCTCCTTCCCATAATGTCTAAGGTATTCGAACAACTATTTTTAAAAAGACAAGGCCCACTGTTGGATGAACATAATGTTATAGGTACCTAATCATCAATTCGGCTTCCGTCAAAACCATTCTACCATTCAACAAGTGCACCGACTTTCAGACAGAATAAGACAGAGCCGGGAGAAAAAAGAAAATTGCTCTGCAGCGTTTCTTGATGTAAGCCAAGCCTTTGATAAAGTGTGGCATCCTGAACTTTTATTCAAAATTAAACGTTCTCTCCCTCATAACTATTTTCTATTGTTTAAATCTTACCTGTAAAACAGACATTTTAGAATAAAACACGAAGGAATTTACACCAAGCTACACAAAATAGAGTCAGGTGTACCGGTGTACCGCAGGGAAGCGTCCTGGGACCAATTCTCTATCTCTAGTGATTAGTGATGAGAAGGCTACTCGTACTATTGAAAGTCGATGGCTAAATAATAAACGTTTCAGACAAAGTTGTGAAAATTGATTGTTGAACATCTGTTAGCTATTATAACCAAACGTACGCTGTTATTGCTGTGTCTACTCCTGTTTGTTGTTTTTAGTGAGTTTTTATTTGTACCGACGTTTTATGAAATGCTTACCTTTTGATTAAGTAAATCACAAAATATAATTCAGATGAACAATGTAAATTTATTTTTATACGTATACATTTCGTGACATTTTTTGTAGTATTAGAGGAACTGCTGCAGCTTCCATTTTACTGCTATGGCTGGTTGGTTATTCATTCAGGGATGACGATCGGAAATCTCCTACCTTTGTTTCTATCCCTGTGAAAAATGCCTTCCGCGTCAACAGCTAAACTTGAGAAACAGGCCTCTTCGGAGGCGGTAGATCCAGTGAAACAAGTATATAAGCTGGTTGAACATAAAATTCGGAATCTGCTGAAAAAGAAGGTATGTAATTTATTTCATACGTTTTATTATTTGCAGAGATTGAACTCGTCGGAGGAACCCGTTCCACCATGTGCTGCACTGCCCTTGTCGGCGGATTGTCATTTTGAAAACTAAGATAAAATGCAAGTAAAGTGTATATAAAGTGCATATATACTCGTATGAGTTCAATTTGCACACCTTTCGATAAGAACCATATCTTTTCTGAAGTCTTGAAACTCTTTACAGCCTTACAGGTTAGCCCCAAGTTCACTCCCTTAGCCATATCCCTGGTCATCCTTGCTGCAAGTTGGTAGATTGGCCTACTTGAGGTTGCACTTTAGTTTACGTCATACATTTACTTTTATACATTAACGGGTACAGTTTCTTAACTGGGCTATGCTAACTTAATATCGATTGAAACCATCGATTGATTAGTAAACTTTCATCCAAAATGTTTATAATGAGCAAGTTAGGTTAGCTTATGACAGTTTTCAATCGATATTAGCATAGCCCAGTCAAAAACTGTACCCATTTTATAATTGATGTACCGGTAGTTTAAAATATTGATTATTAATCGATATTTTCAATTTGATAGTTTCAATCGATGTAGCTTTGTTAAGAAACTGTACCCACAATAACTAATTTACTAGGCTAGGCCAAGCTGATTATAAAATGAAACTGTTCTAAGTTAACCAAACTGCACTAAGTTAGCGGTATGTGAGTACCAGGATGTAAACTAAAGTGCACGACTTAAGTTTAAAACTAAGTCAATTATTTAAATCGTGATATTTCTGTGATAAGTTAGTGGTTCTTCCAATAGGAAATATGGTTTAAACTTACTTTCGTATTATACGGAGACCACTTAATATTTTACAGCCCGCTGTGGCGGTTGTGTTCGTTAGGGTTATCATAATGATGTTTGTAGGCCTTTCCTA